CCCTGGAACAGTGGTCGGTGTTAAGCAACAGCTGGGGTAGAGTTTGTGCGCCTATGCTGTCGTCGGTGCACGTAAATTATAGTGTGTACTAACTACCCACGTCGAGTCCTTCGGATGAGGTCGTCAAGCTCGGTCTTGATGGCCAGGTAGAGCTGCTTCCACTTCTCCACGGCTTCCTCTCGCCGCGCTCGCTCCTCCTTGAGGTGCTCGACCAGGCATTCCGTGCCCAAGCGGAGCCACTCCTTGGCCCCCCTGCTTCCTCTCGCCGTCGTCTCCTCCTCTTCCATCACCCGCTTCCTCAGCTCGGCCGCCTCCTCCCTGTGCTGCCTCCTCTCCTGCTCCCACTCCGCCTCCTTGGACGTGAAGGCTCGCGCCTCCTGCTCCCTTACGCGTCTCATCTCCTTCATCTCTTCCTCTAGCGCCACTACTTTGGCTCTCAGTTCGTTGGTCTTCTTGCGGTGATTGCTGTGAGAACATTTGCTGGCGACACACCCCATGATGTTATTGACCGGAGCCAACTCTTTTGGCGTGTTAGGGAAGGACCGATAAAGGAGGAGAAGAGCGACATGGACTGACCAAGAAGAGGAGTCGCACTAACTTGTTTAATATGAAAATTTTCAGATTTATTATTTAACCAGAATGTGACGTTGATAAAATCATGCGACTAACATAAACAAGTTCAAAAGTTTTTATGTGAAATCATAAAAAAAAGGAGAAGAAATACTATAAATAAATTCTCTTATATGATACTAAAAACGAGGAAAAAAAAAAATCTAGGATGATATGTCCGAAGAAGAATATTTAAATGCTTTTGTTTGCCAACATATAAGACAGTCAGTCGATCAAGATTGATACAAAGGAAAACATAAGAATTTGCTAAACTAATACTCTTAATTTAAACGAGAATAATTATTCTTTGGATATCAAGAATTGGCCGTCCACATCGCCTCCTATTTCAAACATTATAAATCCCCCCCCTCTCTCTCTCTCGCTTCGCACACTTTCCAATGACTCCTCGCTGTCGGCTACGGTAACTTTGGTCAACACTTACGGCTAAGACAATCGCACCAGACCGTGGTGGTGCGGCTCCGCTTTGTTCATCTGATTGGGATTGGGAGTCAAGCTTCTCCGTCATTCGATGACAGGGGTGGTCCGCAGTCCCCTGACAGGAGTTGGGGTCGTTGAAAGACTCGTCGTTGGCTGCAGATGATGCAGCTCATGAATGACGACTACCACTGGAGTTCGCAAGGGTCCGCTTTGTTCGCTTGTTCATGATGGATTACTGAGACGACAGAAATGGGCCCTTTCTTTTCTTCCTCTCTCCTTCTTTCGGGTCTTGAATTAGAGACTTTTATGTTTGCTTCTTTCTTTGTTTTCAGGCTCTGCACACCTACTGCTAGGTTCGCTATATCAGGGGCTCTGCACACCTACAGAGGCGGGTCCAACGGAAGGAATGGAGGCACTGGCCATCTGGTAGATCAATAATGGACTAGAATTAGATGACAATTATGTGCCATTATAGGCCATCCATCTAGTGGAATGATATCATTAAGGCTAACTACTCCATGTCTAGTGATTGGGTAGGACCTATGTTAGTGACATGATAAAATATGTAATGAATTTTCTTTTGGGATGGATGTTGACAAATGGTACTTACTATAGAGGGAGGGAGGGTGTTAATATATAGGAGAATTTTTTTTTTATCTTATTAAAGATATTCCATAAATTGAAGAAATAATGCATTGTTCAGTCCCATAGACATATCGATAAATCGAGAAATGTTAACATTTTTATAATAAAAAGTGTTTTAGACCCATTTAAAACCTCTTAGACTTTAGAATATATATATATATATATATATATATATATATATATATATATATATATATATATATATATATATATATATTATATACATGAACCGTTCACATGTATGATTACTAAAATACTTTCATATTCTTTCCTTCAAATTTAATTTCGGGGAGGATGTTGGAAGCTTAATCAAACTTTTATATTTGAGAGCATTTAGTTAATTTTTAATCACTAAATATAATTGAAATTGGTTTCCTAATCTTATCGGACGTGAGATAAGACTTTGGACAATAGTTCTTCTGTTGTCACCATGACACTCATATTTCCTACTTATCGTTAGGGGTGCAAACTTTGAGTTGGATAAAAGAGTCCTCCTAACCAGGAAAGAGAATAAAAGAAGTGAGACACTAACCATCTAGCAAATATTAGGAATGGTTAAAAACATGTTTTGATGGCATTTGCATATAACGATTGGAAGTGACAAAACTTGTGTTATAAATTTGATTTTAAGAATTCAAAATTTAGCTTTCTATAGGAAGCATAAACATGATGATATCCATTTAGGGCTTGTTGAAATCAAGCAAGCAATTATGATGATCGCTATCTCCCATCCCGATTAAACTAACAAAATTAATATTCCACAATTGTTCTTTTCTTTTGCACCATCAAAATCAAATTATTTGATAGGGGAATGTGGCATATATAAGATTACTAGCTTCACATGATTGATATTTTAACTCATATCGTTGACACACCTTCGTTAGAAATTGAAAAGATCTAACATGATGGATGTTAAAAGAAAAAATTCATAAAAAAAAAATATGGGTATTAATAAATTATATACCTAAGCATTATATGAGTTCTTTATTTATTTATAGAGGATTAAACTCAAGAGTTTAACTTCAGTTATGATAGGACTCCTAAACTAAAATCATATCTAATAATAAATTTTAATTTAATAATTCCAACATCCTATCATAAATTAAATTTTATAAAAAAATTATAAAAAACCTTGAAGCTTTTGAGCAATCTCCTTTGATGTTGTTTTTATGTATAATATTTTCTACGACATCTACATCTACATTCTGAACCAATGATATTTGGTACTAGTCATTTATGTCTTCCATTTGTTTTATATGTTCTGATTAATTATAAAATTTTGATTTGCTCAGAACCACTCTCGTCAGATTTCTTGAACCAATCTCTACATATAAAATCAAATTGATCAATATAATCATCTACATATATATATATATATATATATATATATATACCTTTCTTTTGATAGAATGTTCATCAATCTTTATTGCTTCTAAAGTTTGAATGATGATGATGATCTTTATATCAGTAGTAACAACATCTTCTTCTGAATCTTCAGTGATCACCTTTTGTAAATTTTTCTTTCTTATAGAAAGGTAAAAATAATTTATACTTTCAATAAAAATAAAATCATCTACTCCAACAAAATCGATATTATCTACATCGTAGTTAGAATCTTATTTTTGTATGATTTCTGACTTCTTCAATCTGAGCAAGAATAGTATTAGGGGAAACTTCCATGAGGTCTTTTTTTATATATATATATTTGAGATATTTCACTTTCTTCTATATCATGTTATTTTTTAATTTATTTTTCAGATAAATTCATAGGATATATATATATATCTCTTTTATAAATATATTATAAAATCAACTAGACTTCTCTTCCTATCTTAATTTCATAGATCCATGAAATAATACTTTAATCTAGTATGGATTGAGTGATATCATCATTGAGAGATAAGCTTTAGTACTTTTTTTTAAAAATCTTCTTCTTTGTTAAAAAATGATTCTATTTTCTAATCTTGGGAGAGTAATTTAAAGTCTCTATCATTTGTCATATCTTTAAAACTATTAAGGATAATTTTTTTGAAGTCTTTCAATCTGAAAAAAGTTCTCATCATAAGCTTTCATTTTCAATAATCTTTTCACCCAATCTAAATAATAACAATATCCAAAATGAATTATAAAAGTCATCATCCATACATTCAGTATTCTCTTCTTTTACAGGGGTTCAAACTTTGATCTTTCTCTATCAGTTAGTTAATCAACATCGTGAAGATCTCTTAAGTTGATCATTTTTCTTCTACTATAATATAATCTATCAATTGTTTTGTTGATCTCGATATCTCCTTTTTTATTTGATGATCGTCATAATAAAGTCTGTTCATCGTTGATGCGGTAAGTAATTTCTCTTTATATAATTTTCTCTTTATAGTTTCTCTCTCATTGTTTCTTCTCTTTATTATAAGTTCGCTTTGAATTTTATCTCACTACTATTTCTCTCACTAAATAGCTTGATTCTTCTCTCTACAAAGTTGTTTATCTTTCTAAACAATTTTGTTTCTATCTTTATAGAATTATTTCTATCTCTAAACAATTTATGTCTCTGTCTAATATATCTATTTTATCTCTTTAACAAGATTTAATCAACACCCTCAGTGGAAGATAGGTACTCTCAGAACAGAACACCTGTTGCTCTCTTGGTAACGAACCTAGTAGCTTATATGTCCTCTCTTTTAGGGTGAGCTACTCTATTTCTTCAAGATTTAACATACCTTATGGATCAAATAAACTTTGATACTATATTAGAAATAGAAAAAGTTCTGATACAATGTCAGAAATAAAAAAAAAACTCTAATAGCATGTTAGAAATTAAAAACTTTAATACCACGTTAAAAAATTTTGAAGGAAAGATGATGTACATTAAGAATTTGTATAGGTAGGAGTATCGTGGAGTGGGGACACTTTACAACTCAAAAAACTTTCTTTCAAATGATCTCTCATATCCGGAGACTTTAATGCCTCTTTTGGCTCTACTTAATCTCTCCTCCTAATTGATTATATGCTTAATACATTTTATGAGCCTTTAATATATAGAAAGATAAATTCAAAAGTATGATTTTAACTATAATAGGAACTGAAATCCTATCTAATTAAAATTTATTTAATATTTTAATAATATCATGATGGTCAGATCTACCATGTCGACGATGGGGCACCAACTAGGGGCATGATTGAATCCCACGAGCTCGACCACATAGCATTGGCAAAAAGGTTGAAACCAATCTTGGTTAATTTCAAATCCTCAACTACATATGATGATTAGAATTTATCATAATACTATTCATACTCGTTTTATCTTTTCCTAATATCATTATGTTGAATCTTGTATTTTTATGATGAAACCAATTGATAAGTGTTTATGTTTTAATATACGTTTTGAGTGACGCAGGATGCTTCGATCAGGATGAGATAATTAAAGCAGGAAGAATCATGTTGGGCCGGAGGAAAACATGTTAGAAGATTGGATGTCGGGCTGGAGGATCGGTCGACGCATTGACAGAAGGCTACGGGCCATGGATTCGGGCATCGGGCCAAGAAAAGTGGATATTGCACCAAGGATATCGGAGTTGCGGAGTCAACTGGCCGATTGGGCAATAGGCCGCAAGAGCGGATGATGCGCCGAAGAATCGGACGAAGGTCGAGAGACCAATGACATGCCAGACAACATGATTAATGCTTAGTATTAATTGTCTAGCTCGAAGTGTGTTTTATATGTGCAGGATTAACTACGATAGAAAGGCATGAAGCAAAATGAAGTCCAGGAGTTAAGGATGCGATTTTGTTGAGAGTTCGTCAGAAGTTCGGATGTTCATTGGAAGTTCTATCAGAACTAGCCGAGAAGTCTCGGAGCTTGCCAGAGA